GATTTAAGGATCGAGCAAGCGAAAATAAACCTTTAGATGTTTTAGAAAATTAAATGAAACCCATTTAGTTTCAGTCGACGAAAGCCATACATAACCGTGTATTGATAATAGGCATCTAATCGTGATTAAACCTCATGTTCTATCTCCTATCTCTGTTTGGTTTATGTTATCCTCGAATGATCTGTATCTAGCAATAAAAGTCAGCGCAAGAAAGTTGTATATCTTAAATTAGCTAATAAAAAGCAAAAAAGATTAAGATATATTATTTTAAAAGTACTTTCTTACTTAAGAAGTTTGGAATAGTATGTTCTAACAAGGTTGGAATGAAAATTCGATATGAGTGGAACGCGAGCGTAAGCGAGCGTGAAGAACCAATAGTAACAGACTGTACCTACTTTCTCCATAGCCACAGAAGGAGTTCAAACTTTGAACAAAATTAAATATTTAATATAACTTACATTAGGCAAGTTGTATTTGCATAATTTGTTAGTTCAGAAGGAATATTATCAAATTCTATATTAAAATCATTATATTAATCAATTTTTGAATTTAGGTTTGACTTAACAAACGTCACTTATCTTTATTCAGGCAAATTCAAACTAAATACTAACACGCCGCGAGAACTTTCGGTCATGAAATTCATGACTATCCACGATGCGGGCGTGGTTTTCACAGCCATTGGTCAGTAGCTATTATATAGTGGACATTCTGTCCCTAGAGTTAGGATGAAATACATGTAAAATACACAAGAGGCAAGTGTTTCAGAATTTTTTTTCAATCTCAAGAGCGAGAATGTTTTCTTTTTGTTTTTACAAGTGGTTTCGGAAGAACTACATTCAGTAGTGGTCGTGAAGAAAATATTTTTTTGAATAAAGATAGCAACGCCACAATAAATTTACAAAGAAATTATTTTCATCTTATTTTTCGTTTTTTTTTTTTAATTGCAAAATATACGTTAAAAATACATATTTGTATAAATTAGACAGTGCGAATGTTAGTGATTTATTAGTTTTCTTTACTTTTTAAAAAGGTTAACGAATACTTTGTTGTGAACTTTTTAAATCAAGACAAAATTTGTTTTTCCTATATTATTTGGTGATATTAGAAACATTTTTTATATGGTTTGGAAATTTTAACAACTTACTACTACTGCGAAGCAATTCTGGTTTTTAAAATTATTACTTAAAAAAAAATGTAAGGGACATGTCTGATATTTGACTAAGTACTTTCCAACATCGATAAATGAATGAAAAATAAGGTTGGAATTACACTACTGGGACACTGAACAGTAATAATTTGTTACTTTGAGCACTTTGGAAACTGATTTTATCATTTTTATTTTTTATTTATTTAACAATTAATTTGCCTGATCAGCTAATATTATTGACATATAAAATATAATTTAAAGTACACAATTTCAAATTCTAAAGTACGGTGGAAAGGTTGGTATACTCGAGGAAGTGCCATGGGTACTGTCCGGATCTAACAAGGATTTATATTAAAGAGTTGCCTAGTTTATGACTTCTGCGTGCGTCTGAATATTGTGCACATCCCAAAGAAGTAGATAGGGTAGGTAGAATGATAAGAATAATAAGTGTAGAAATCATGCATGATTCAACTTTCCACTCTTACTCACGTAAATGACAAGGAGAAGTTGCCCTAAAGCACAGTAAACAAATTCCAGGCTTGGCTTTGTTCATCTATTATGTTCAAGTTCAGTTTTGTCTTTTGTTTGTGTTGTGGCTGTTGTAAGCTTTTTCTTGCATGGGTTCTTTTTTGGCTTGCTTATATTTTTTGTACTTTGATTTCGATTTAGTATTAAATTATACCTGATAATTATTTTTCGATGCACTATTTTATAATTGTTGCACTAGTTCAATCAACGAATGTTCATAAAAAGTTATACAGGGAAATACATGGAACACAATTTTTGACTTCGTAACTTTGTTTGAACTAATTAGGAGGTGAACATATCAAAAGTCCCCGCCCGTAACCTTGGAGGGGGGGAGGCGGCCTGAAGGTCTCATTTTTCGGTCTTTCGCTTATATCTCTGCAACTATGCGCCATAGCGACATGACCACTCAATATAAAATGAAAGCTTATTAAATTTGCTAGAAGTTTTATTAAATCAAGATTTTCGATATCTTGTATAGTTTTCGATATATCAGCTCTTGAAAGTCTGTAATTTTGAAAACATTTTTTTTGCCTCACATATTTTAAGACAGTGGGATGGTTTTATAAATCACAACCATTAACTGTAAACAACGTGTATTGACATAAAAAAGTGAATTAACATAAAACATTAGAACAGTATGTAACATTGAGTCAATTTCGTGCTCTCTTGGGGTGGGAAGGACCTTCATCATCGTCTTCGTTTTCATCTTCTTTATCTCCAATATCTTCTCCATCGGACTCCTATGGTAAACGATCACAGAATCCTGTTCTTCTTCATCTTCGGAGTCAACTTGAGGGACTCCATTTAGGCAGTTCCTTAGGCAATTCTGTCATGCTGTGGAACATTTGAGGTTTGCTTTTTTGCAGCCACACTTCGTGCTGGCACAGTCTTTCGTGCATCGGCAGAAAATAATTTTCAGGATGTCCTTCAGTGCAGCTGCTAACTCACTGTGCACTAGGACCAGGCAGTAGTTTTCAATATTCCACCCATACATCTGAGGAGGCAGGTCATTTCTCAGCCACAGTTGAACTTGGTGGAATGTTCGGAGGGAGGAAGACAAGAAGATGAAAGATGAAAGGTTCTTCCTACCCCAGACAGCAAGAAATTGATTCAATGTTGCATACGGTTGTAATATTTTATGGTAATTCAGTATTCTATGTCAATAAACGTTGTTTTCAGTTAATGGTTGTGATGTATAAAACCATCCCACTGTCTTAAAGACACTCATACATGCATAAACATGGTTATAGCAACATATTTTCTCATTAAAATGGTCTAAGGGTGCATCGTTAAAGAGTTATCCTGCCAAAAAGAGCTAAATCTCTGAGTCAAAAATGTTTTTCCAAAATTACAGAATTTTAAGAGCTGATATATCGAAAACTATACCTATCACATTTAATAAGCTTTCATTTTATATTGAGTGGTCATTTTGCTAGGACGCATAGTTTCCGATATATAAGAGAAAGACCGAAAAATGAGACCTTCAGATCCCCCTCTCCCCCTGGCTCAAAAGGGTTCGGGCGGGAACTTTTAATATGTTCAACTCCTAACTAGTCCAAACAAAGTTACGAAGTCAAAAATTGCGTTCCAAACATTTCTCTCTATAGCTTTTCGTTGCCTGGATTACACAGAATGTTCCTAAACCGTCCCTGAATCTTGTTTACAAAATGTGCAAAACGAAATTGTGAATAGTGTCTATACTTTTTCATTGTCAGTTATCATTCTACCCCTCTCCACTTCATTGGAACACCCTATTAGTACGTGGTATACAGCAAGAATAGTATTATAGCAAAACTGGCAGAAGGGAGGATTATTAGAAGCAACAAGATAGCTATGGGTGATTCTAGTGTGACCTCTCTGTAATTATGTAATTATAATTTAATTTTTTCTACCAATCTTAATTTAAAACAATAAAAATGTTCAGTAACGTGCAAGTGTTTTGTGTGAAAACGTTACTAGAAATGCACTCAAGATCACACTGATGTATAAATGAGTAGTTCCATTTTTAACTGATGGTGGCGTATCGCTTATTAACCGATTTAAAAATAGGAGGAAGATATCAATTCATTGGAATACTATTTTTTATGTATGTTCAGCGATAATTCTTTACCACCTTGTCAAATTTCTTGTCCATATAAATTTAGATAAGATCTGGTGATGGGATCCATCAGAAAATCAGCATACTGAATTTGTAACGGCATCTGCACGATTTTGGAGTCAGTTTTTTAACATTACTTTTATAACTTGTTTTCAGATCCATATTGTAGGTGACTTGTAGTTAATTATGATGGGTGTCAAGTGTTCAAGACATGGAAATACGCTTACAACCAAGCTGAAATTTTTCGTACTACTGGGAAAGTTACAACTTTTAAGGAAAAATCATTTGAAATTAAAAATTTATATTTCATGATCTGTCAAATAGATAAATTCCCTATCGAAAACGAGAAAACATAATCAACAGGCGCACTTCGGAATTTTGGTACATTCAAATGTGTTAAATTTATGGTTTCCAGTTGGCAGAAGAACATTTTCTACTTGTTCGGATTACTGTCACGTAGTTTGATGTTAATATAACAAAAATAAAATAATATAAGGTGTACTAACTATGCTCATATTTTTGTCTGCTTATAAATTTGTTTTCAAAGTTCATTTTTAATATTTTAACTGTCTATCAATGGTACAATTTTTTTGTTTAACGACAGGTAACAATTTATTTAAACAAAATGATTTTTTTGCCTCTGTGCAGGAAATTATTATTTCAAAGGTCCCTTTCTTGATATTGACACACGCCAAAAAGCTAGTTACAAAGAGCGTAGTATCTACAAATGTAAATTTAACACCTAGGAAGAGAATTGATGCTATTTTTCTTGACCATATTTTTTAACCATATTAAATGACCAAAGATTTTGATACAAAAAAAAAACTTTTTAAATGTTATGTAGGCTAGACCATCGGAAAACTTAATAGTTCGCTTAAAATGTTTCTAAAAACGTGATTGTAAGCTTACTGGTTGGATAAAAGGTGGGATAAATTTGTAAACTTTCAGAAATTGTTTACAATCTTATCCAGTTAAAATTAACTGTTTGAACAAACAAAATGAACAAAAAACTGAAAATCACAACGCTTCCGACATTATCGACATAACTTACTTATTTACAAATTATTTAAAAAAATATACTTTTTCTTGGAATATCGTATACTAAATTTATAAGATATGTGACAACATTTGTTCGAATCGTATACACAGCGATAATATAAATAAAAAATGGAATACATATTTTTGCAAAATAAATAGAAATAGAAATAAGTATACCAAAAAATTTAGTCTTAGTTTTAAATTTTGTTTGTTTGCTTTTTTTATGGCAATGTGTTTTGAACCTAATTTCGCAGATTTTTTCAACTTTTTTCAAAAGGGGAATTAAACACTGCAGTTGGATATGAAAATTAAAAGTATGGTACCAATACGGCAAAATTAATTATAAATTAAAAAAAAAAATGAGAAAGTTATTTACAAATTAATAAAAAATAAGTAATGAAATTTAATGGTATACTTTTTCTTGTATTATTGTACAATGGAATGCTTTTCTTAAACTAATTTTTACATATGTACATTTTTTGTATTTGAAACACAATCTATTTATATACATTATATTAATTAAACAACAAAAATAATCACAGATTTAAACCATGCCTTTTGACATCATCCTAACAGTATTTTTGAGGGCTTGTCGTTTATTGCAGAACCATATTCGAATCACTTCTCTTTCATAACCTAGTTGATGAGCCAGGCCAGTGATTTCAGTTCCTGTAATTAATAATAAAATCATAAATAATTTCTATTAACCATCTAGTTATTATTATTAAATCTTATAAAGTCTCTTTACAAATTTAAAAATCTAATGTGTCCAACACATGACTTTCCTGTCTAGTTATTAAAGGCATGAAAATTTTAATACATCTGATCGGCCTAATAAAAGTTTTCATTAAGATTTAATCATGTTTTCAAGGTTTTTACTGTAATAAACCTTTTCTTTTGACAGATAAGTCAGAATTTATTTATTCATAGCTATATCATATGTTTTTTAATTGATTCGGAATTTTGTAATAGTATAACTTAAAATTTTACAGTAATATAAGAATGGCGAGTGCATTAGAAAATATTGCAAGCACAAGTACGCATAAACGACCTAGTGGACATAAAGAATTATATTAAAAAAAAATATCGTATTTAATGTATTTAATAATCTTCGAAAATATTTTGTTTCACTTTCTGTGGATGAAATAGCTAGTAAATGTGAAATCTATTATACAGGAGTATCTAAGCAGACAATGTATAACATTATTAAAGCAGATACAGGTTATTGGAGAAGTCTCACATCCGAAAAAAGCCCCCAGGAAGGAACAATATTTTTATTGAAACTTGGGTAAAGAATGTAATATCGCAAATGGTACATCCTTTTTTATATCATATATCCTATTTTCATCTGCAAAAAATATTACATGATTTAAATTTTTAATAGAGAAAGACGTAATCATTGGGTGGAGACAATATTATTTAAGAAAAATAGCGGACGCAAGGTATCAGCATAAACAGGTATTTTATTTAGATGAAACATGGACACACAGTAACAAAAATTTGAAAAGATACCTCCATCAAAACTAAAAAACAAGCCGTTATGGAAGGGATCTCTTGTGGATTAAAAAATTCAACAAGAAAAGGAAATCGTTTAATAATAACCCATATTGGAAGCACCGATGGATTTTTGCTAGATTATTTATTATTGTTTGAGTCAAAGAAAACAAAAGAGTACCATGAAGAAATGAACGGCCCTATGTTTGAAAATTTGTTTTAGAACATAAAAAAAATCCAGCCAACTCTGTTATTGTTTTGGATAATTCATCGTATCACAGTCGATTAAAGGAGTCACTACCAACAACAAGATGGAAAAAAGAAGATATTTCAAAATGACTTCATTCTAAAAATATTATCAGTCCTCCTAAATCCTTGAAGGCAGAATTACTCGTAATAGCAAGGCAACAAAAACAAATCTAAAAAATAAATATATTATAGAAGAGATGGCCTAAGAAAAAGGAATTAAAATTCTCAGATTGCCTCCTTACCTGTCAATGACAACAGACTCACAGGGTTGCCATATTTAACTGTCAGTTCCCACTTGTCAGCAGTTTAACAGATCGTTAGAATGCCTAATACCTAATTAATGAACTGTCAATTTAGGCACATTGTTGTCAAGCGTCCTATGCTTTTAGCATCGTTCGATTCCTTTTCAACAAATTACTTGTATTTGAGATTAAATTATTAATAAATTGTTAACAATGAAAAGGATGTCTTACACTGTATACCTTAATGTTTCAAATAGGTTTCAAATAAAAGAAAAATAAACCAAAGCAAGATCTTATGGAACTTCCTGATGTTGCCATGAATCGGGCAGAATTTTGAAGAGAATATGTCAGAGAAAAGCAAAGCAAGTTTGTATCAGTTTGTTTTTATTGACGAAACTTGGATTTTCCAAAATGGTTCGAGAAATCTTTCTTGGCAAATAAATTTAAAAAGAACAAAACTTAATGGTAAAAAAGTTGTTAAAAAAAACTAACAAATACATATATACATATTAATTTTACAATATTTCTTTTACAGACATATAATTTTTGACGTTGGAAACGAAAATGGCTTCATTGATGGTAATGGTGCTAAGGCCAAATTGGCTTGAAAAAGTAATCAATGTGATTATCATGGTGAGGTGTATAATGAAATTATTTTATAATGGTTTTAAGAACAATAATTGCTTCAAAAACTTCATAAACCATCATTAATAATTGTAATGGACAATTCATCAAATAGCACATACGGTAAACCGGAAAATAGTAACTAAACTAAGGATCAAATACAAGAGAGGTTGACGTATTATTCACTCACCATGAAGACTGAACTTCTGAACCTTTTTGTACAATGAGTAATGGAAATGTATTCTTTTATATATATGTTTTTAAATGATTTTATTATTTTAGTAATAAGCTACCAAACATATATGTATATAGTAGAACAGTATGTACATAAGGTGTTACTGCTCCCTCTTTACCATTGTGTGTCTTCAATCCAATATAATTAATTTGGGGCATTTTGAAACAGTATTATAATAGACACATTGGTTGGGATGGGAAGACAGAGAAAGATTGTATAAACATGTAGTCTGAAGCACTCCGAACCATTACCCCACAAATATTGACAAACAGACCAACTGAAATAGTATATTACATTACGAGTGTTGAAAGTAGCATTTTTCACACGAGTGGGAAATATTGTCGCACGAGGCACAAGCCGAGTGCGACTATCACACGAGTGTGGAAAATTACTTTTTACACAAGTGATGTACAATATTTTTCCTACGACCACAAAATAATTTCATCAAAAAATGTAAAACCAGGTTATTATTATAATAATTAAAATATATTTAAAAAAAAAAATCAACAATAATCGTATTTATTCAATTTTCATGTTTTCTAGACAAAAAAAAAACTAAAAAAAAAAAAATAAAAAAAATAAAAAAAATATGCCCCCGCAAGGATTTGAACGCGGTCGCTCGCCAGGTCTCAAATGGCAAAGTTGATAAAGTTTGATATTCTAACCATCTAAACTAATAGGCCTTGCGTCAATTGAAGGATCTAATCGGTTATGTGTTTAACCAGAATAAAAAGCAAACATAACTTAGTTATTTTAAAATTATTTTAATAATAATTGTTAAAGATAAATATCTAGGATCTAATTTACAACAATTTCAATAATTTAACAATCATATCGATTTTAGTATTAATGACATTACATAGATCAAAATAGAAATGACGCGTTTGACATTTTGTGACAGCTGATGCGGAAAGTAGCATATTCGTACACGAGTGGAAAGTAAATTCTTATTCATACGCGTGTGATATAGGGCACTTTCCATAGGACTATATAGTGTGATGTGTCACTTTCCTAAGTGGTCGTAGGAAAAATAAATTATCAAATTATATGAGAGGAAGACTTAAGTTTTAAATTGTCATGTGTTGTTAATTTTATTATCTACCTCTTCTAATTATTGCTACTTCTTTTAAAAATATATTTTTATAACATAATTGAACATAATTACTTTTCGTTGCAGAATGATTAGAGCCTAAATTAAATTTTGTTTGTTTGTCATCGTTAATCTAAGCCAAGACCTTTCTTTCGCCGTTTCAAACTTCTTGTGCAAAATTTATTCCTACTAAATTCAGTGTTATATTGGTAATTTGGCAACTATGTGGCACTGTGGAGACCTAAATTTAAACGCGTCTTCGATGAAGTGCGTTGGGTTGTATACTGAATCCAGTATAATTGTGATTTTCTTAGCTTATTTCTTCTGTCACATCAGTTTTTCCTGTACTTTCCTGTAGTAGTTATCTATACCTCATTAGTAAAATAGATATATTTAGCATCCAATCGCAAATAACTTTAAATAACCAAATATATTTTTTATACATAATACATTAAATAAAACATACATATCCAGATTAAGCTCTAGTGATATTTTACTAAAATTTAAATAAAAATAAAAGTTTCTGTTTAATGCATCAGCTTATTTAGAAAAGCATTTATTTCAAGACCTAGTAATAATTCATTATTTTGGTTAATAAATTTAAAAGAATCTTTACCTGAGGGATGAGTATTCCTTTCAAAGTGGGCGTTGAGTAATTCTAAAGCTTGAGGTGTAAATGATGTCCGTCTTTTCCTCTTTTTTGAAGGTTCGATACCGATAAAGTCCGTAAGATGATTTTGTCCGCTTTTGTACCTGAAAATAAAAAAAATATTACGTCTCATTTAACCTTTGTAAATTTTTTAAATATATTATTACTAATGTATTTTTCTACAATTATTAAAAAAATGAGGTTTTTATAGATTTGCGTTTATAAAGTATGTAATTGTGGACCAAAAGGAAAAACTCGATAATGTCATTATCGAGTTTCTCCTTTGTCGACGCCAACTTCATAAACTGTTAATTACGATTTATCGAGGTTTGCAATAATAACGTGTTTTGTGTAATATAATTATTGTTTCTTTTAAGATTGTAGAAAAAATTGGGTATGCAACTCGTGTTCAAAGTAATTTTTCATTTCATTGATTTGTCTGAGGTTCGCTTGTTGCGTACATTACATTTAATTTGTTTTTAAATCGGGATTTGCTATGAAAGTCAAACATCGCTCACTCTGTATAGTAGGCAAGACTGGCAGTGTTTAGCAAAAATGTAACGTTGCTACATCGCGTTTTATAACACAATATTTTATTGTTGCCACATTAGTAATATTTAATCAGTTATTTAGATATAATGTACTTTAGTTGTACTTTTTACTATTGGTAAATTATTTACACTAAATATTTCATTTAGCATTTAAATATACATCATTGGCCATATAGATTGCGCCCTCTAGTGGCGAAGTTTTTATTATTAAAAATGTTTTCTCTAAAGTTCTAAGACAGTAGTTTATAGTTAAAACTGGGAATGATATGAAAGTTAAACATTGCTCACTCTGTTTAGTTAGGTTAGGTTCAATATGAGTGAGATTTTTTCCTGGGTTCGTCTAACTTAGTCTTGGACAACATTGAAGCCTAATCGCCTATTGAATTTAATCCATATTAATTCATAGTACCCACTCTGTCATCTTAGTCCCTTGTACATGGTGTGTTCTATAGATTCTTGGATCAACCTGTGGTTGTCCAAAAATTGCACATCTTTTTCGATCCAATGCCTCGCAGTTGCACAGTATGTGTTTGGCTGTTTCTGGTTCCTTGTGACAAAGTCGTCACAATAGGTCTGCATTATATACGCCTATTTTGTTCAGGTGTCGCGTTACTTAGGCACAAGTCCTGTTATTTTTCTTCAACTGGTTCTTATTCATGGAAAATAGTTCTCCTGTTCTTTGTGAACATGGTTTTCCTATAAAGGCGTACCAATGTGCTTGTTTTTGGACATTCTCCCTATAGCTGTTGTATTTTCTTCGAACGCAGTCATTTATGAAACCTCAAATTGGACTTTTTGGTACTCCAAGGTTTATATCTGGTTCCGGTATTTCTTCTAACCCTCTCTTTGCAAATTAGTCAGCCTTTTCATTGCCATCCCAACTAGTTTTACTCTACTATGGTCTGCCAGAGTTCTCAGAACTTCGATACAATCCCATACCAGCCTCGATGTCACTTTCTGACTTGATGTGGCCTTGAGGGCCGCCTGGCTGTCTGACATTATTAGGATCTGCTTTTTTGAGATAGCTCTCCTATTGTTTGTTCTTGCACATTACAAGATTACATATACCTTAGCCTGAAATACTGAAGCGTTTCTTCCTATTGCATAGCTAAAGGTTGGTGTTGGGTTTTTGGAGAATACTCCAGCCCCCGCGTTTTCCGCAGTCTAATCCGTCTGTATACCAGGTATGTTCTAGTCGTATGGAACTGGGTTCCCTTATAGTGATCTCCGTTCTGTATAAAATTAAAACCTCGACTGGAGTGTTGAAGGAGTAACGTTTGGTTATCTGATCTGTTCTCATGTCCAGTACGACTCTTATCACTAACCTTGTGATACTTATGTGACCTCGTCTAATGTAAGATTTCCCAAGGTGTTTCCTAATCTGTAAGTACCTAATGTTACCCTTGTATCACAAAGTGAAGTGGTGGCAAGCCTATTAGTGCATCTTTTGCTGCCCTGGGGGTTGTTCTCATTGCCTCCGTTATTTCAAGACAGACGAGTTCTTGTATATTGCTTAGTATTGTTATTGCAGCTCTTTATTGTGTCTCTGGTCACCATACCAAAGCTGCGTATGTTATTATCAGTTTTTATCGGTCTGTCCAGTATACCATACTTGGTTTCAGTCCCCATTTTTCCAAATGAGCGTCTTACCATTACTAGTGATATCTCCGATTTTCTTGTTGTTCATTCCAAATGTTGCGTTCAGGTAAGTTTCAAGTAAATAGTAACCCTGAGATGCTTTACCTCCCCCTTTAGATGTTTTCAACTCGGAGGTTTAGCGGTTCTAGTCCCTCTAACTTTCTCTTGCATACAATCTCTAAGTGAAGCAATGTGTTTACTGAAGTGAAAAATAATTTCTAGCTATTTCTTTTTATAATGTACTGTCATCAGTCCCGTGAGAGCAGAAGCGTTCATGGAAGGGTTGGGTACAAATGCCTTCAAATGAATAAGCCCTGGTTATGACTATTACACTCTCTATTTTTGCAATAATTCCTTTGGTAATGCTCTTTGAAGTGCCAAGGAATGGTTCAGGTACTATTAACTCAGATTCGGTCCCTCTTTTAGCGAGCGCTTCGGCTTTTTCATTACCCTCCACAACGCTGTGTCCCGAAACCCAGATCAAAGTAACTTTGTTCCGGGCACCGAGGGTATTTATACAGTTCCAAACCAGCTTTAAGTCAACTCGGTTGAGGTTGGGGCTTTGAACGCTGGTTAACTGACTGAAAATATATTTACAGTCTTGTGAACGAGGAGAAAATTATTCAACTCTCTTTCTTAATTCTATAAAGATTAATTGATATGTCAACTCTTCTGGCCGAAAACTCCCGCTTCTACTTCTTTTTCAGATTTGGAGCGAGCCGTGTACAGCGCTAAGTCCGTTCCTTACGTATCTCTCTGCTCTCTCTGGAATGAAGACGCTGTATGATTTTTCTATGTGATCTCGGAAAACTAGCGAGTCTGATACCATGCTTAGAATGTGGTGGTCATTGACCTTACTAATCAGTCCAGCTTTTGATAATTATTATATAAGATTTTTTGTTGAATACTTTGTTGCAAGAAGATGATTCAGAGACTCTTAATGTATTATTTATAAAAAAATAAGTCAATACCTAGAATGATGGTTATGTATATTAAAATATTAATAAATAATATACATATTAATATATGTCAAATTTCCCTATCCTCCTTGGATTTAAAAACAAACTGAATGACACATACAGTTTATACAGCCGGTGTCAACTCTTAATCAAACGCCCGGTACATAAAAATTTGACTATAAAATCAATAACAAAATAATAGGTTAATTTTAAGAAACTTACCAAACTTCCATGTTGGATCTTAACAAAAAAATATCTTTAGTCATCTTGGATAAAATAGTAAGCTAAGACATTAAATATTTTATTAAGGAAACTTAAGTGGTTTAAAATGCAAAAATTGTAAAAAACTATAAAAATTGTTCCCTAACAGAGAATTTGTAAATAGGAAAAACCTAGTACAAAATCGACAAATACAGGCTACTGAAGATGAGGGAAAAAGGATTTACAATTTCATAAGCCAAAAGTGGTTAAACTATAGATTCAAATTTAAATCATTCGTCTGACTGAAATTCAACATGGAAGTTAGGTGAATTTATTATTATTTATTAAAATTTGCTTGTACAGGGTTATTCATTATAATCGTTGTGAGGTTATGTCTGAATTTTATTAAAAGGCTGTCAATAATAACATTGGCGTGCAGATTTCATTTTCATGCAGCACAAAGTAACCAAATGTTTTGCGTAAGGGACCTGTTTTTTTCCTTAAAACATATGTTCCATATTAGGTACATATTTCGAATTAGGTACAAAAATACAATTTCCTATAGAACATTTTTCTGTGACTCCTGCATAATAGATTTAATATTATAAATAATAAATTATGGTTTTCAAAAGTGTAAAGAAGCTACACAAAAAACAAGGGGCGTTAAGAAGACATTTTACATTTAATATGTACAAAACCAAAACGGTATTCCGTATTTGGCTCACTCCACTATGGTTAGCTTAAATAACAACTGTCACTGTCAAACAAGGTCTATGGCTTACTTGTCGTACAGTAAATTAAATAAATAAAGAATATCGAAAAAAACATGGGTGGTGCGTTAATTTTGTCCAGGAATTTATGTGACGCTTAATGACTCGAAAATGGTATAAAATACATACAAGTAACACAATAGGTATATTTTTTTAAAACAAGAAAAAAAGCTTTATTATACAGCGAATCTCATTCAAATAATAGGTTTGTTCCAACAGCAGTACAGAACCGTTCGGAATTTATCTGCGAATAATTAGTAGTACGAAAAATAGAATAGTTAAATCGTATTGCTCATGCGCAGATAAATTCAAAACGGTTCTGTACTGCTCTTGGAATAAACCTAGTATTATTTTTGTTGCATCTAGTGAATTCTGTTTTGTAGTGTGTTATTGATAGTATTTTAACAAAATTCAGTCACAGTCACACAACTTTTATTTAAATTTGTTTTTGTACAATATTTAATAAAAACGAGGATAAGCAGTGGATAATTTATAATAAATAACCCTGTAAATTGTGTTCCATATCAGGAAGCAGTGCGTGTGGATCTCTTAAACGGTCAGATATACAGATTTGGTTAAATTGGATAAAAGTTGAAAATTGAGGGATACAATTATAACTCGAAAATGGTTCTGGTAATCTGTGATTTTTTCACACCACTGTCCCCCTCAATAGACAACTTTCATCCCATTTAACAGAATCTATATATTTAATCGTGCAGGAGATCCACATTCACTGCTTTCTCGTGTGAGACACATTTTGTGTGACTTTTAATATATTACATACGAGTACATACAGTGGACCGGATAGTTCTTGCAAATTGTAAAAAAATAAATTATGAAAATAAATTTTTTAAGTGACAATTTTAGAGTTAAAATTAAAATAAGGATTCTTTTTTGCAATAACTATTATTTTAAAATTGATTTGACATAATCTTCTCTTTTAACTTTCTCTTTTTACGCCACTATTTGAATAGCAATTATTTACTATTTCCAATGTTTTTTATTTAAAAAATGTATGAAAATCTTTAACTATGAAAAATTCAAAATTTTTCGATATATTTGACAATGAATAGCAAGTTTTTCTTTATTATTTTGAAAACTTTGTTTTATCGGGAGTAACTAAGTAAATCAATTATAATTTATGCATGCTTTATAAAGCCTTATACGAAACTTCAAATAAAGGGTTGAAACTTAAATTTAAATTTTAAAAACTCACCTATCTTCCGCTTCTTTCATCCACCTTTCCAGAACAGGTTTGATTTTTTGAGCACTCTTAGGTGTGATATCCAGTTTTTCGAACCTATATACAAATAAAAACAAATATTTTGTTAATACACAACAATTGCTAGAGAATATATTTTGAGATTAAACTACTATGGATTGAAAGGGTTAAAGATAAAACACTAAAATTTGTAAAATACTATCAAAGTTCAAGATATTTTATTATTTGACAACTATGGCGAGATAGACTGAAACATTTCCATTTGCATTACTTAATGGTGAATGGTTACCCTTTATAAAATTGACTACAATTTTAGATGGTTCTGTATCTGTAACGTGTGGAGGGTGGGTTTACTAGCCCCATTGTACATCCTCCTAAGATGATAGACACCTTCTAGCTCGTGAGCCAGCCTACAGATTCAATGTAGTTGACAACGTCGCCAAGAGGTGCTTCTCTTATATCGGCCGGTGTTAGCCGATACTCGCCGAACACAAATCTAATAAATTAGAGCGTCGAGCAACCGTAAATGATATGCTCGATGGTCTCATCTTATTGTTCGCACCCTCTGCAGAGTGCGGATTATGACAGCCCCATGATATGAAGATGCTTCCGTACTTGGCAATGACCAGTCAGAATGCCTGTGACTAGGCGCAGATTCTGTCTAGTCATAGTCAAGTATTTGTTTGCTGCAGTGTTGTTAGGATAACTTAAGAGCTCCCTAGCAACTCTGCAGTTTCTTGTTTCATCCCATCTTTCCTTGCATTTCACAAGGGAATGTTCTTTAATTAGGTCTGCCACTACCGATTTTGTCAGGCCAATAGAAGGGCCAGGTCCAAAAAGTATTTGGTTGGCTGCTTTCTTGGCTAGTGAATTAGCAAGACGGTTACTTTTAGATGTGGCGTGACCTTTGATCCATCTAAAGTTTACCACATTGTTGATGGATACTTCGGTCAAAGCTTTGTGACATTCTAGTACTAACCCTGAGTAAATTCGGGGTCTGTTCAGGGTGAGTAGTGCTTGTCTGCTATCTGTATAGATGAGCATGTTTCTTCCAGTGATATTTTTTTGGTAATTTCTTTTGCTGCTATGAGAATCCCCGTTAGCTCTGTTTGAACTACACTGGCACTATTGCTCACAGCCCATTTTATATTTAGGTTTAAGAATCTGGAGTATATTCCACATCCTAAACCTTATTTTGTTTTAGAACCATCGGTGTAAGTATAAATCGTACCTGCCACTTTTATGTGTTCTGTTATAACTTTATATGGCTTATGGAAGATATATCTCGTTGAGATGGAGTTCATGTTCGCTTGAAGCAGTGGGAGCGTATCGAGCGCCTCCTGCCAAAAGCGACGTCTCGCCTCACCAGATCCTACATCAGGTTCTATTTAAACCGTACAGAAGCATGTCATTATCTTCAGAGTAACCTCCTTGATGTAAATAACAAGGGGAGTGAGACTAAGAATGACTTCCACGGCTCTGGTCGGTGTTGTTTTCATGGCTTCTGTTATGTTGAGATATGCTGTTCTTTGAATATGTTCTAGTTTACGGAAACTGTTAATTTTTGAGTTTTCGGTAACCAGACAATTGCACCGTATGTTAGCATAGGTCTTATGATAGCCATGGGAGAATCCCCGGGTGCGCCCTACGGTTCGGCGGAATTGATCATAAGAAATGTATGCTCTTTTGACTCTGTTTTCTAAATGCGAGTTCCATGTTAACTTGCTGTCAAAGGTGAGACCTAGGTGCTTCACCTCTGTTGCAAAGTTTAGTTTTGTATTTAGGAGTTCTGGAGGTTTTAATTCCATTTTCATCCTTTTCCTTGTGAAAAGGACCATTTCTGTCTTCTTAGGATTGATATACAGTGAATGGTCCTTGCACCACTGTTCTATAATTTTTAGAGCTACTTGCATTCTTTCGCAGAGTATGTTCTCAAAAGTCTGTTTGCAGAATGACCAGGTTATCTGCATATGCTATTGTGTAGTGACTGTCATTATTGAGGCGGTGTATCGAGGATGGTTATTAAATGGAAAACACCCAGCTCTTTTCCTATTATAAGTAGTCTTAGGCATTTCCGACATTTTAGGATCACTAGTGTAGTGGAGAAGACTTTGAAGGAATGTAACAAGACTTAGATAGATCTAGCGTTTAGCTATCAAGCATTTAATGTGAGTGATGAAGGAATGAATAAGCATATAGTTGGATTGGTAGTACAGTAAGCCTTAAGGGCTGCAATGTAGCGGTTCTGTAAAAATATCTTTGGCGCTCAGTACTAAGGCTACTTTGCGACTTTAAACAGCGGTGAATAATCGTTCTATTCTATATAAATATGTGGACATACTCGTAGAGGATTGACTAATGAAGCAAGAACTACCAGCTGAACCATTGGTACGAGGTACGAGTACTGTAATCGCAGCTGCATTGGAGGCTGTCTAAATGCATTTCCCTACTCAAAGTTTTGTGACGACAGAATCATACACCAAGGCAGGGGGACCAAAGATTAGGCAAAAATCACGTATCTAGAAAGAATTAGTATATGTTATATTATTATTTTTAATAGATTTTGCAAAGTAGACATTCGGTGAAAAGATTCCTGGAAAGAAGATACAGATATTTACATTTCTACAGAGATTCGGAGTCCTAAAGAATACTAAACTCCATTACATTATTAAGAAGTATATTAAGATTTTCGGATACATGACAAAATAGCGCATACAAAATAGTGCAAGACAAAATAATGCAGGACAAAATGGCGCATGGACAAAATAGAGCGTAACGAACAAGATATGTTTTTTATTTAATGAAATTCATTGAAATAATTTGTAAGAAATACTGTTCCGATGACGCCTATCTAGACAATGTTTTAGGATCCAACCCATTTTAGCGCGAAACAATTTCGCGAGGGATAAATTTGCTGCAACAATTTTAGTGAGACCAATTATCGTCTATTCTAATTAAAGTGAGTTAAGCTAGCGCTTTTTCAAGAAAGTCTGAACCCAATTAACGCGTGACAAAATATGCCAGTACTCTAATTAAAATTTAGAAAAATGTAAATTATATTACCTAACCTGTGCGGCCTGGAGCCATGGCCGGTTGCTGTATATGGCTCCAGGCCGCAAAGGTTAGATAAATTAGTTACAATTTTTTTCATTTTCTCTAATTAAAATTTAGAAAAATGTAAATTATATTACCTAACCTGTGCGGCCTGGAGCCATGGCCGGTTGCTGTATATGGCTCCAGGCCGCAAAGGTTAGATAAATTAGTTACAATTTTTTTCATTTTCTCTAATTAAAATTTAGAAAAATGTAAATTATATTACCTAACCTGTGCGGCCTGGAGCCATGGCCAGTTGCTGTATATGGCTCCAGGCCGCAAAGGTTGGATAAATTAGTTACAATTTTTTTCATTTTCTCTAATTAAAATTTAGAAAAATGTAAATTATATTACCTAACCTGTGCGGCCTGGAGCCATGGCCGGTTGCTGTATATGGCTCCAGGCCGCAAAGGTTAGATAAATTAGTTACAATTTTTTTCATTTTCTCTAATTTTATATCAATTTTTTTTTCAAACATGCGATGGCTTTAGGCAGGTTAGGAAATTAGATTTTTGTTTTTTTTTATTTTAATTAGGATACTAGAATATTTTAACACGCGATTTTATGTCCTACGCTATTTTGTCCTGCGCTATTTTGTCCTTGCGCTGTTTATCTTGAGGTTTTTTTATCCTTTCGCTATTTTGTTCTGCGCCATTTTAACTGCGCTATTTTGTATTACACAATTTTGTCCTGCGCTGTTTTGTCGTCGAGCGCCAAGATGGGAGATATCGCCACCTCCACCTGCGTACAGGAAAACATTTTTAGAAAATACGTCAACCAATAAATATTTTTCTTTCACTGTTGTTTAACGAGTAATTCTAGACTGGCCAAATACTTCTAAGAGCTGGACAGTCCAGAATATTCATAGAAGATCAATTCAACAGCCAACGAAATCAATAGCTAAAACTTAGCCGGAACGAGTTAAAGACTGTAATAGGACCTTTTGTGGGATACTGCGTACTTAGAATACACTTCAATCTCTTAGGGATATGTGACCACTCCTTATGTAGAATATGTAAAGAGGTGGACTAAGCTCCTATTCATATACTATGCAAATTCCGCAAAAATCGGAACGAGAATGGCACTTCCGTCCGGTAAAAATAACCGGAACCAGAAGAAATCGTGAAAGCATCAAACATATTCTTGAATTCATCAAGCCTAGAACTTAAGTACAAGTGGGCTTTGAACCACACCCTAATTTAGATAGATAGAGAGAGAAGATATAACTAGATGCGGTAGAATTCCCAAAGATTACACAAAAACGTTAAAATACGACCATGTAACTAATTGTTCTAGCGACAGAGTAGGGTACTACCACGAAGAGTTGCAAGGATGAAATACTATACTGTGGCACAATACTGTCCGTATCAACTGTTTTAACTGAACATTCTCGTTATTTTGAGTTATGTGATACAATTGCCAGGCCTTTTAAACTAGGCTAACATATTTTGCATTTGCCAACTCTAACTGCGAACGTATCTTATCAATTAACACTTTATTTAATAAATTGGGTATGGGAAAGTTTTTCGCGAGATGAAAGTTTAATTTGCAATATCGCTTAGCAAGACATAACCTATTTAAAGTGCGAAAGTACGCTACTCACGTAAATTTGGAGTTAGGTTTTCTTTTCCAAATTTTGTTTTGTGTTTTTATTTGACTTAGACAAACCAAAAAATTCATATCCCGATTGACGTTATCATGCAACTCACATACGTAGTCCTTGCAGCTCCCATTTAAAGGGAAATGTTCATTAAGGAAAATGTTCAATCTATCTCCATATAAACTGATTAGAAGAACTTCATTCTTAATCTTTATATACAAGAATACAATTTTTGAATTTAAAATTAGAGCTTTGATCTTGAAATGTCGACTTGGTTTATTTAAAGTAGCCATTGTTTTTTGGAACAACTTCCACAACAAGTCGGAAAATCCAGTATTTTAAAAATAATTGAACATATTTTGGATAATATAAGCCTAAAGTAAGTGGAAAAGAAACCCATTTTATTAAAAATAAGAGAATGCAATTTAAAGTCGAAATAATAAGTTTACTTAATTTGAAATTAATGTTAAAAAAGTTTTAATGTTTTGTGAGTTCTTTAGATGATGCATTTTTATATTTCATCGGCACAGGACACTAGCATATTAAGAAGAAAATATCAAACTCATTAAAGTAGCAGATGCCAGTGCCCTGGCCAATCCTTTCCAAAAAATGGGACAACACATATTATAAATAACATTACTTGTGAACACTTTTCCAAAAAATGCAACCAAACCAAAATGCCCTTTTTAGTATTACAGAAAGTTATGTGATTATTCCTTCCAGTTTATTACATTAATGAAATAAAAATTCTTCAACGATTGACAATGTTTTAAATTAAGAAATTCATGTCCATTTCTTTGAATATAAATTTACTAATTATTGAAAAACGTTCAGTTTCGATAAATTGATTATTAAATAATTAAGTTACGGTTTTTGGAATTTTGTTGCAAATTTTGTAAAGTTACTATCTAAGTAGAGTGTAAATAGTAAAAAACATACATTGCTTGTTGCTGAGTTGAGAGTTGCGCGGCGGCAAACATCTGAGAAGCCAGGGCACTGGGAACAAATCATAAACAGTTACTTACGTGTTAACAGGTAAAATTGTTATAGGCAGGTTGCTGAGAACGTGTTTTGTTGTTTATAAAATAAAAATAGTAAAAAATGTACCAACAATAAACCCCAGCAAACCTATGGGACAAATCCAAAGACTAACAACTGTTAGACCAATTACGTTTAAAAGCATTCACATTGTTATCCAATATAGTTGCCAAATTATTATGGTAGACGCTCTAAAATGCACAAAAGGCTTTCAAAATTAGTAGCTTCTTCTTATTGTTGTAACTAAGATGTTTCCTAGTAAAGTACGCAATGTGAAACAAGTGTCGTAGTCGTAACTACTGATTTATTCATGAAACTCGTGCTCGCACATACCATCCTCACTCAATTTAGTGGACGTCTTGCTCTTACTAATTAGACCGCTCTATCTGTCTAATATGAAACACGAATTGAACACTTGTAAATGAACAAAATGTTTATTTATGAATGAAAGGATTTGTCTATAGTTGTTCGTCCTTGGACATATCAAAGGTCAGCTAATTTGAACCATTATTGGCTTTGACCAGCTAGTATATTTATTCATTCATTAATAGTTGTAGTGCTTAAAAACAATATGATATTAATAATAATAACTACACTTGTACAAAGTTTTGATCCGAACTTACAAATGATGAAATTATTGCAAAAAGTGAAGACCCATTTTAAATTACCACAAGCCTCCACTGGTTAAGTATGCAGTATATTTTTCAACGAACTAGTAAAAAACACTAAAAAAGTTATAAAATGATTTAAAGGTTATTAAGAAAAAAAAATGAGATTTTAATTTAGGACTTTTACTAATGTAAAAAGTAAAACAAACTGAACAAAAAAAAAAAACAAAAAGAATTTGCCTTCAGCCGGGATTTGAGCCCGGACTTTCGTTCTAGAACTCATTACTCAAAATTTCTGCGCCAACAAGTGACATTGTAATTTTACTTAACATTTGAAACTATAAATTAAATTAAAAGAAATTTTACTAAAATCTAATTTCTTTGTAAATGTGAACGAATATGTAGTGAATTGCCATCACTTGTTTATCGATTCATTACTAGAATCATCCTCATCGAGTCATTCAGTCTTTAGATTATGGCCAACACATAATGAGTTTAAATTATTTCCTTGACTGTGTTACAAATTTTGGTTTGTTTTTTATGGCTTAGATGTATATACCTAATATGCCAGTTTCAGTTTAGGTTTGATTTTATTCAAATGTGTTTTATGTAGGCTTTGTTACTGTTTCCCAGCGCCACTTCAGGAGCAACACTGAGTCACCCACCCCTCTTAATCATTATTATTTTCATCGCAGATTTAAAGAAAAAGTGTTCAAATGCATCAAGCCTTGTACCTTCGACGAAAGTACGTCGGAAAACTCGACAGCCAGTCATTAATGGGGGCTAACGACAAAGGCATATCAAGTAACTGCAGCCGCCTATTTATTTTCGACCCGACTGCCAGATACATAAGGCTATGGTTATAGTGGATGCGTGTTCTGACGAACTAACGTTTGGATAAACTCGTCAGAACACGCACGAAAAAAATCCAATACATATCAATAAACAGTTGTGGTTACATTACGAGTGAATTGTTAGAACCCGCATGAAGTCGTCAGAATAAGAAATCTTTCAAATCAGTTTGTTTTTTCGAACGAATTTAAATACGAAATGTGAATTTCGAATATGGATGTAGAAACATTAATTGGTTTATAGGAAATGAAAGATAAAAGTTACCATAATAGAGATCAATTTCGACAAAAATGGGAAAAGTTAGTATTGTACATTATTGAATAGGAATTTCGGTTTAGTTAATTAAAAAGGACTTTCTAAAAACGGATAATCGTCAATGTCATTCATCATGGATATATCCCTACAAAACACAAGACTGGTGAAACATACAATCAGTTCTTTAGAATGTGCATGTAAAATAACCAGTGTTGATCTGAACAACAATTCGAACATTTTCGTCCAAACGCCAGTTCGTCAGAACACGCATCCACTATAACTATAGACTAATAGATATAGGCGCCGACGCCGACGTTTCAATAGTACCCAAATTACAAGGCAACTGAAATGAATCAATAAAACCTTATATGCAGCAAACGGAACCAAAATTAAAACCTACGAACATGTAATTTTAAATATATCCTTAGGTTTAAAACGAAAATTTAAATGGTAGTTTGTCATTGTTGAATGCGAAAATATTAGGAGCTGATTTTCTTCAACATTTTAGTATTTTAGTTAATCTTAAAAATAAGAGAATCACCGATGTGGTAATCAATTTTGCCAGTGAGGGCAATTTACGTCAAGTAATGAATCCTACTGTTAGAACTAATGACCAAAATAATGAATATCACAACATCTTGGCCGAATTTCCAAATATAACCAGAACAAACTTCAGAGGTTCCTAAAGTATATCACCAGATCATCACCAACGATTTTGTCCTTAATTTCTTTGTTGGGTTTTGGTCTTCTTTCTCCATTTTATGTTAAATTTAGGCCTAGTATAACTATTATTTTCCTCTCTTCTATTTTTACGGAATCTTCTTTTTTATTTATTGGTGCGGTTTCGAGGGCGTACAAATTTGTTGTTAGCTTTTTCTTAGTTTTTTGGAGATGACTTTACTTGTTTCTTTAACATTTGTATTAAACGTTTATTATAGAAGTATTTCCAATTTTTTGGGTGCTTGTATTATATTTGATCATCGTCGTTTTTTAATCTTCTTTTCCTAATTCTAGGTTTGCTTATTTTGTTCTTTATTTTCCTGTAGACTTGTGTCATTACGAAGAGTAGAGCAGTTAAATCGTACTACTCATGCGCAGATAAATTCAGAACGGTTCTGTAATGCTGTTGGAACAAACCTATTGCTATGGTCTTGTTCTATTTCCTATAGTTAACTGTTATCCACTCATTCTTTTTTTCTGTATATTATATTTGCCTTATTTCTTTTTATTTCGTAGTCTCTTTCGTCTTGTTTTTTTTTATGATCAGCCTTTTAATTCTCTGCTCATTCAATTATTCTCTCACTTCTTCGCAGTTTTATTCGTACAATTTGCGTTTTTGGTGTTGGTCGATTCGTATTTTTCTGGTCTCCCCGAACTCAAGTGGTTTTATATATTTTTTTGACTTCCCCTCGATAAGAGAGAAATATTGTAATCGTGAAAAAGTCACGCTCCGAAATTATTTCAAATTTTCACGTTACAGGGTCCCTAGATTAAAAAAAACATGTTTTCCCATTCCGTCGGTCTGTCTGTTGACACGATAGCTCAAAAATGGCTTTAGAGAAAAACTTCAAATTTTGTTTACATATATGGTTCCTTTCTGGCTCAAAACCAGTTATACTTCCGGTTAGTTATCTCCTGGGTAAGCAGTTTTAAAAAATAATTTATTTTTAAAAGTAGGCAAATTTCAACTAAAATTGGTATCTGACTATTTTAGAAGTCAAAATTAACAGATCCCAAATGAGTTTTAAAAAATTCAAAATGGGGTTGAAAGGAATCGTATTTAATCAAAAAAAGTATTTTTGAATAAAATAATAAAAAGCGTCCTTTTGGTTTGTGTAACTGGTCCACTTTAAAGCAGCCAATCATTATCGTTCAATAACGTTCAAAAAGGGTTTTCTCGATCTTCCTCTTGTTTCGACCCGAATTCTCACTTCGCGTCTGCTCGGTGCTCTTTGTCACGTTCGTAAAATGTAAGTGCTTAGGACTTCCCTGCAATTACAATTTCTATATGAAGAGAAGTTCTGGGTAAAATACTTTATTGATTTTTTTAGATTTGTTACTCATTTTTAATTTATTTTCAATAACTAAAAATCGACAGCCGTCGACTAGCAAGAACTATGATTTTAGTTGTTATTTTTTTTTTAGAAATCAAAAAATTGACGAAATTATCTAGTTTGCTATCGTCTGCTGATCTGACATGAATCACGGTTATGAAGACTAGAGAGAAGGAGGCGAATCGGCAATGATCAAATTTCAAATTTCCGTCCTTATTTTTATAAAGTTCGCGAAATTGACTGTAGTTGGCATGTCGAACAGAGTGCTGTCACTTTCATGTGTAAGTAAATGTAAAATAAAGTGTTTTTTTATTTAAATTGTTGAAAATAATCAAAATAATGTAAAAAAAATACCTGAGTACAAGTAAAATGAGTGACAAAAACGGTCAAAGCAAGATTTACTTCATTCCAGATTGTAAAACGGGCCTAGAGCCCGGCAGCTTTGAAAAAATAGGTTATAATATTTGAGGGGCGAGCCTTTGCCAGTGTTTTGCACCGGGGACCTACCATAGCTCTCGGCAGTCCTGCAAGCGCTTCTTGGCAAGCAAGGTAGACTTTAGAGAGTGCTAGTGAAAAACTGAGCCTATACAGCATAAATAAGAAAATTATGCTATGACGTAACAATGGAGTGGCTCTATAGCCGCAACCTTAAACAGATTGCCGAAATAATAAAGTTTCCTTTGAAATAAAATCCTGCTTCTATTACTTGCTACTGATGAAAACTGATTATTGGCGCGAATGACCTTGCATTATAATAATAAAATTTTCATCTTCCTCCGATATACGACAACTCTATGAAGGAAGTAAATTATTATTGATTTTCATTGTAAATGTCGGCAATAGCTAAAAGAGTTTACAACAAAAAAATGAACTATTTCATACAGGGGTCTATTCTATAATATATTTTTTTTTAATTAACCCTAGGATATAAAAATAACCGGATATTATTAAAATTTTTTATTCCGTAATATTTGGTTAAAATTACGAGTCATAATATTCTTTTTCTTATTTTTAATGCTGCGTTGGGTTTAATTTCAATGCATTTTTAGGTATACATCGTTGCCATGTCTATTTTAATCGAGGCTGGTTAAAAAATAACTACAAAAAATTAAACTGATGGAATAGCGAGTAGAGATTTGGGTTAAAATTTTAAAGGCATAGTGTTATAAATAACCTTTTAACCTGGCGG